TTTGGTGATCAATCCGGTAACCTGACCATTATGTCACAGCACTCCCAACGCGGAAGTGAGTTTGAGACTGGAGAAAAAAGCCTGGAACAAATGAGAAGATTAAGGATCACATAATTGTTTTGATGGCGTATGGAATCGCTTAACAGAACCGGTAAGTCAAATTTAGGAGATAAATCGGAATGTGAGCAGAAATAAGTGACTATGGCACTAGCCTCTTCCTCACCCCTCCGTATGATTCGACATTGAATTTGGCATTTTTCTAATGAGATGAAAGTGGCTAATTATTATTTAAAATGTCACTTTGAAGCGGGAGTCCGGGAAGCAGATTGTTAGCGCAGTAAATAAGTTCAAGACGGACATTAGAAATGTGTTGAGGGCAGTAGAAAGCGAAGGAGTAAAACAAAGGTCGCGAATTCTAAATCTAAATCGTAGGATGGCAGTTCCTGGTGAAGCTAAGTGAAATGCAGTTAGTGTTTAAAAAATTTAGATGCGTATCATAACTATGAACGTGGACGATTTGTCACAGTATTGATGTTAAAAACGAGACATCGCGGTAGAATTCAGGGAGAACTAAACCATACCAACATAAACTTTGCAAATATTCCACTATTCGTCAAATATTCCTTCGATGTCAATACTTTCAGATTTAAATAGGACTCATGTAAAAGAATATGAAATATTTTCTTCGTTGATACAATCGCACCAATGGTAATGAAAATTGGTTGGATTGGGCAATAGATCAATAAGGACGAAAAGCAATTAGTAGAGCTGAGATTGACGGTACGAGCGTGACTCAGCAAATGGTCAAATGAATGGACAAAATTGAGAGTCGAATATCGAACGAACGAGAGCGAAATTTGTGAACTGAAGGCGAATGCAAATGCAAAGACTTTAACGTCAGGGTTGGATTTAACGGTCCAGTAATAAACACCTGTTTTCCCGACAGAGAACCATAAAACTGGGTAATAAATGAGCGCTCCAAACAGTCCAAACACCCCATCTGCATATCTGTTGAAACCGAACATATACCTTCCTTGAAAAATACCGGGAGGAGGTGCTTCACCACGGAAAAGGCAATTATGATTTCCATTGAATGACGAACCAGGAGATGCAGAAGAAAAAAGCATTCGCATACCACCATAGTACCTTGATTAAAAGTTGAAATCTCCGTTGCAAATTAATAGCACATGACCACCAAGTATGACAAATCTACAGCTTAACTACGTTATTCATAAAATAGAGCATTCAACAAAATCATGATCTACGCAAACTTCGAACTGCTAGAATAGAGTTGGCGAATAGAACACTTAATTTTACGATTCGCTGTTAAGCCATTTATCAGCAAAGTACGGAACAACGGCAACAAAAAACCACGTCGTTTAAGAGTTAAACAACGGAAAGGACCTTGAGTTTATGCAAATCATAACCGCCATTTAACTAAATAGCATAGTTTAGAGAAGTTGGAAAGAAAAAGTGTGAACGCAAATGCTCACAAATCAAGGCAGATTCGCTGCTTGATCTACAGAAGAAAATGCTTACACCACTTTCAAAGACACAAGAGGAGGTGTCTCCCGGCTGACTTGCTGGCGAGGCGTTATCTACTGAACGACGAGACGAAAAGAGTCGCCATAGTAGGGTCTTTGACTTTTGAGGTTTTACACAGTCTGGGTAATTAACGCATTCCCTTCGACCTAGATCCTCAGGGGGTTTATATTTTGTGCGCCCTCGCAGCTTTATTGGCATTTTCTAAAGGACGAAATGAGGCAGGCTACCACAAACTTACTCGGAATGAACGCAAAAATAGGTAGCAGTTGGTGCTTCCACTGTTTACGATTAGTGAAGAACTATAGAAAGCATCATTTTCAAGAGGTTGTGACTGGGAAGAAAGACACCAACATGACTGGAAAACCACCGAAACGTAATTCGAACATACGCATGCAAAATAGCGACCCGACCCATCGGTACATCGCGCTATAACCTTCGCCTAATAAAAATAACGCTGACCTTCAAAGACTGATGCTTGTATCATGATCCACCAACTATTTAATTTTAAATCACACTTAAAAGACTCTCTGTTTTGTTTTAAAAAGGCAAGCTATAGCACTGAGTTGTCTTGAGAAAAGAAATTGACGTACATCAGAAACCTTTCTTTTCATATCAATTTTAGACTAAATAGGTGTTCTAAAAAGCCGTTTCATGGGGCAAATCTCTGTAAACTGCGTGTAGGCGGAAAGCGCAATGTTATTTTATAGCATCCAACACGTAAATCATAACAGAAGGAATCAGGTGCTCTTCGAAAACGATCTCATTCTGAGCACACAGTTTAAGTTATCATCCCGTGTCCTGTCCCCAAGACTCGGTTATCTAACAGTGATGTTGTTGACGTGCCCCATTTCATCGAGTACTTATACTGATGGAAATGAATTTATCTTATTCATCGAATTCATAATCTTCTCTGATGGCGTACCGTAATGACTGCTTGGATACTCTGTGCAAGTTCACAAGCATGTATGTGACTTCCAAAGACCATTCATAAGCAGAATAAAACAACAAGGAGGTTAAGAAGGAAATTGACTTTGCCTTGGTCCGAATGCCAGCCGACACTCATGAGAGCACGACGAATACAAATGCAACCGTCAAACATACCGGTGGTCACATAAACATTTTACTGCGATCTAAGTGTAGCGTCCTGATTCTTTGCGTCGGGTGAAAGGTGACGCCGGACGAATGCTTTCCGAAGAGAACAAAGCAAATGGGCCTGAGCATGGTCCGAAGGCCAGCCCACGAGTACAAAACCAGACAGATCCTAAAGTGACCATCAAACATCATGTGGTTGCGCAAGCAGAGCGTTACAGTAAGTAATCTGTAATCTGACCTCCCTTCTGGATACGTATCTTTTGGATACTGTCAGATACTTTGTCTCTCCTATGCGGTAGTAGTACATTTCTTGTCATCACCAGGTTTTGTGTTTTATGGAGAGAATCTCTGGAGGCACGAATGGCGCCTAAGTTAAGTGCCACCTGAGATAGGACCTGTAGAACCAGTCTGCCTATCGTCAGTCCAATGATACTCAGTCATCAAGAAAGGGTTAGTTAGAAGAACTTTATTCAGCATCGTATACAGAAAGAAAGGAAAGCAGATTTCAGTCTGAGAAGGAATATTTAAGCTCCTCATGCACTGAATTCGTGTTCGATTTGATTCCCCACCTCTCTCCTATAAAGGCAAACTTAAACACACTGATATATATTACAGACTCGATACGCATTTTAAGTCTGTTTTTGTACCATTGGTGGTCTGAAAGATTAACCATATAGGTAGAGCTTTGAAGAACAAATTTATGTTTAGCAAACAGAAATTAATGTTGGTTAATGGCGTGGTCCAGAGGCTAAATCACCTTCTTCTACATAATGCCGGCGTGCTAATGTCGCTTCATCTATTAATGATAACTAGGTTACCTATCGTATTCACCTTCTTGTTAGGGGTCGAGTCAGGATCTTTTTTCATTGACCTCTACAATGCTGTATTCGAGCATAAAAACGGTAACATACGGGCGGCAAAACCATGCATTGCAATCACACAATCGATTCAAAAGGCCATCTAGAATGGCCAAAGGCCATTTTAAGTGGCGAGGATGCAAATTGCAGTGAGTAGAGTTTGCAAACAAATAACTTTTATGTTTATTTAAATGCACTCGTTACTTTTCACAATACGTAGTTAATGCTGTGCGGCTCCCCTAAAGTCCTCATGGGAATAAGGTTGAATATTTATAAGTGGACCACGTATTGTAGGCAGGTTAGAAGGTTTGTAACTACTGGCATGATCTTCAGATTAGGCCCGCCTTGTGGGAGCACAAAGATGGAAGCCTTAGGTGACCAAGCCTCCGAAATCAGGGTCAAACAATGTAATGCTTTGTTCATGTGACTATCTGACTTTTGGCGGTCATTTTAGAATTTGTCTGGCCCCAGTACACGTGAGGCGGCCTTCGGGCCACGCTCAGGCCCCATTTGCCCTGTCGTCTTCGGAATACTTATGCCTTCTTCCACCCTATGGGAAGCCTCGGGATGCTGCAAACAAATATCCACCATAATAAATGGACAATCTTAAATAATTCGTTGCAGATCTAGAGCATTAGTGTGGTTGATTTCGTCTTTTTCTCCGAGTCAAATGCTTACCACTTCCAAGTCAGATTTTGGTATGAAAGATATGCATTTTTTAGTACAGGGTCAAGGTTTATGTGTCAGTGTGTCAAAAGGTGGGTTTTAGTCGAGAAGACGTGTTTGGTGGGCCCTGCATTTTTACTTAATCACGAATGCATGCATTTACAGAAAATTTCTGTATTTCTTGATTTTGCAGATCAAGAATTCACCTACACTGCGCACAAGACAAACAAGTATGTATGAGTCTGTAGTGATCACAACTTTGGGTGCAGGCTAGTTTGACACCCTGCTTTACGAGGAAAAAACAGGCGCGTCTTGTGAGGAGTGTTTGGTTTATCTCAAAAACGAATGGAGTTGAGACGAAGTCACTGCAGCGCCCATAAAGTGATGATCAAAGTTACTAATGCTTCAAAATTTTGTTTATTTTTTGCCATAAAAATGGGACTTTTTACACAATTCTCGTGTTTGCTCAAAATACCACCGCAAATTTTCCGATAGAATATTGCTGCACTGAGGAAAACAGGATACCCTGCATCAGGCAACTAGTCTTACAAACCATAGGAACCGTTTGCTTTCACCTGACCGTGGTCTTAGTTGGCATTGACGTAGTAACACTTTTATGATGGCTTATGATAGTGCCAACTCTCTAATTCGTAAAAGTAAGCAAAGAATGGTGGAAAAATACATCGTCCTATCAAGTTGTGAGACCACGAGTATGTTTTTTTTAAAAAATGCCAATCGATAATTTTGCCTCAGTATTCCGGTGAAACTTCGGACAGTTTGAAACGGCATGGTTTTGTGTTTATTACGAGGCCTTTCATCGTACACGACTTAAACTTGTCGATGGGGAATTCGGCTCTTGCATCCAGAATTCAGTACCAGAGACGGTTTGAAAACACTGCTGTACAGGAAAATCCCTTGACTCTGTACGAACGCGTAGGCGATCCACGTTGGAAGATAGATCATGCCGATGACAAGGTCAGACATTCCTGCAAGCAAAAGCTGAATGATTCGAATAAACTGTCTATTGAGGGCATAACTCGGAAGCCTCTGTCTCCCGTGAAAGAACAGCCAAATAGTCGCCAGGAGGAATCCCAGTCTGATAGGGATGTTAACACTATGCCAGTGGATTCCGTGTCTACAATAATTGTTGATCAACCGCACCCTATACCTGTTATAACGGTGACACACTTCGGTGACCAGGACACCGCAAAGACCACTTCCAAAGTGCACAACAGCCCACCCCGAGTACTTAAAACTCCGCCAGCAGCTCAAATTAAAAACCAACCGGGTCTGACAGGAGTGCCACGTCACAAACCCATCCAGCGATTGTCACAGACGTCACCGACCAAAGCGAGGTCACAGACCCCACGCCGAACCAATTCCGCGACGCCAAGGCCGGAGCGGAGTCAGTCAACAAAGCACAAGAGCGCTGTAAGAGCTCCGCGTCAAGATAGGGCACTCGCAAAAACTCTACCCCATGCGGCCAGTAATTCGTCCATCAGAAATCGTGAGCCCAAGATAGTACAAAGCGGAACGCTTCATCGAGAATGTGACAGACTAGCTAGCCCCTTAAACTGCAAGCGATCCAGTTCAGCAGGCCCCTATTCAAGGCACCCAACACCGATGAACACTCCAAGGCGAGCAGTTTCGAGGGATGTGCCAAAGCGAGCACCAGGACTTCCTCAATCCCGATTGGAGTACACGTTCTACATAAGAGATACGGACGAACACCGTAGACCGTTCGACGAGAACACGGCCGATGCGATAGCTCGCAGTTGCCAATGCTCCATCGAACTGATCACGCTAGGGAAGGGCTTCCCACCGATTTTCCACAAGGGTGTTAGGGTATGCCCGGTCACCATCACCACATCCAATATGACTAACCTAAGGCGATGTCTAGCCAAATTGGACGCCCACTATCCTGAGTTCAACGCCAAGGCCTTCCTTCCACACTGAGACAGAAATGTACACGTCCACCCAGGAATGTGCTCCCATCCGCACACCCATATACAAGTATCCACTTCACTTTCGAAAAGCACCCTTGTGATTCAAGTTACTCTTCTCTCTGCCAATTTTACAGCAAAGATATTTCTTCGGACGAAGCCGAAGCTTCTGATTTTTATTTTATTAAACCCTTCCAAAAATCACCTCAGAAAGCGAATACTGCCACGAGGAATCAGCTTACTGACTACATGGGTTACCAATCGGTTTAGAGCATCAAAAGGTGCACTACTCTGAAATACTCCCAATGGTTTAGGCCATGTGCTCATATTTCAACTTACCCAAAATGACTTCAAACTAGTGTCCAAAAAATTTTATGACAACCTTCTTTGTTTTGGTGATTCTGGTTCTTGCTTACTGTGATTACCACTTCTTAGAAGCTAAAAACTTTGTTGCATTTCAAAACGCTATGACGAAATGAAGCTCCAAGCTCAAAATCAGTTAGTTCTCGAGCAGCACCGCGAAGTGCCTCATCAAAACTCAATTTCAATTCCGTTATAAACCCCCGACTGAGCGAGAAAGGGAGGAGAATGCATTTGCCGGTTACTCTCTGAGGGGGAGTAATAATAATTGGTAGCCATTTTCTGTACACAAACACATGAAGAGAAGCCAGTTGATGCGCTAGTCATGGGGCTATTTGCTGCCCTGTTTATGTCGACCACCTTCACTTCCTCCGATGGTCACGACAGGGAGTTGAGTGTGACGCCGACTGCGCTTCCGCTCTCTCTTGTCGCCCAAGACCTCGCGCCGACGCTTTGCACCCCTGCAATTCAACGGTAGAAGTTTTAATTTGAAACTTATTGACGCAATTCAGGTGACACAAAAAGAGTACCGCCTGACTCAGCTGTCGAACCCTTACTGCGCTGCTATGGTGTTTAATGCCAAAGCAACATTATTCTTCTTTAGTGAAATCCAGGTTCAGAGTAAGCATTGAGCATCCATTTAACAGTAACTTAATAGTAGGCACGTGTTCACTCTCATAAAAATTATAAATGCGAGAGAATAGGTGAAGAGGGTTGCATTTGACTGCAAGCTCGAATAGGCAACCCTCAAAAGATTCAGGATATGTGTATAGCAGAGATCAAACGTCTTTAATCTGTAACCAAGGAGGATCCGATCAGTGAGCGTCTAGAAATTGTGATCAATCGACTCAGATCTCCATGATGGGAATTCATTCGTAACATAATGAAAAAACCCAGCTACTGTTTCTTGATTCAGTCAGCACACACAGGTGAACAAAGTGTTTCATATGGAAGGCAGCATTTCAGTGCTTAAATTATAGGCACAAATAAAAAGGATTGAAGCGAGGATGCTTAACGAGCACCAACCCACTGAAGTCTCTAACAGTAATCCTACCGACTATAAGCTTTCAAATACTGATTATGGAAAGTAACCCAAATGTAATAACGTAGAGAAATCCAACTATGATTCAGCAATACATCATAAAAATTAAGGAGGATAAGTGACTTGCGGCTTCCTCGTTCATGGTAATCCGTTTGTGTCCTCTTAAAGCCCCCTTTAGGTGATTCTGATACCGTACCACTGGTTACAAGTGATAAATGGGTACGGCCACATACAGTCCTAAGTCTTGGCTTTAAAAAGCAATGGCATGCAAAACCTTCGCGCCTAGTTTTTATTCGTGAACTAAGGACAGCTATGTTGCATACAAGCTTTTATACATGAAACTTACGCGAAGTCAAATGTTCTTAGGCATGACCATCACGAATTCCCATGCTCTGCTCTTACCATAGGAAAAAAGTCGCAATTTTAAAGAAACTGTTAAAAGCAATAGAAATGAATGAAATGATTATTTAGCATTAATCGTATTACTAATAAGTACTCATGTCAATGAATAATTACCGCATCTGTTGCCATCATTACGCTCATAGGATGGCGATTCGCATGGCGAAAATTTCAATCCACGTCAAAAAATTAAGCCATTTGGGACAGCACCTACCCATCCTTTGTTTTCTCATCTGGAATGTGCACGTGGAGGGCAGAGAGCTCGGAGCCGTGACCAGCCACAGCAGCAGTCCAGCTCTTCTCCGAGCCCTTAACTTGGTAGCGAGCAAGTTGCACATCTCCCTCTTCACGAAGTAACTGCTTGACTAATTCCGCACGGCGCGCCTGCTCCACCGCGTCGTTCAATGCCACTGATGTGTTACTAGATGTAACATCATTCACTACGAACTCGTCGCCCAGATTCGCCTCCTCGTCGTCGTCAGAAGACTTTAAATTGCTAAAGTCACGCTTCTCCAGATCAGAGGTGGGGGGACTGAACAGACCTGGCATGATCTTGCCCTGAAGCAATAGCGACTTCAAATTTGCAATGCGAGCACATGCCTGATGTGAAGGCAGCTGACGGCTTTCATTACTTTCCCCATCATTCCAAAGCTATACACTAAGAGCTATTTGGTATGACGTGTGGCGTATGAATCAGAACGAATTATTTTGTCAGAGCTGCGATAGATTTGCTTCGTATTCGTCGCATCTCACCTGAGCGATAAATGCATTCTGCATTATACACCTCCGGTTATACAAAGACAGTATATTAAAAAATCATAAAGGTTCCATTAGACCGACTATGCTGAGATGATACTGTAAGTCCATTTGGATTTCGTCATAAGGGCAATTTTAGATAAGCCATCCAAAATAATCTACTAAAATAACATGAGTAGAATGTACAGGCCTGATGATGTTAGCATTCAGTTCCAGAGGCTTGTTTATTTCCGGAAAGCATTTCGAGTCAACTTTAGCAATAAAACTACCCAATGATCCAGCATACATACTAAGGTACAAATAATGAGAGTGAAAGTAATCTAATAACTTCGTATTTAAAGTGGTGCTAATTGTACAGGCACAAACCTGGTAAGGTTGGACATCATCTCCGGCAGTCTCGAGAGTCTCATCGAGAGACTTGACGAGTTCGCGGATAATAACGAAGAGGAGGCCACGAATACGCCGCGTCCAGCCCCTACTTGGTTGGTCGGTACTGAGCTGACCATCGTCCCTGAGGCGCCTCTTGACTAGACCTCCAGCAGACGTCGTTTCGACTCTGCTGCTCCAGAAGAAGCCATCAACACCTGCAACCGACTGGCGCTGTTTTATGCCTTGTAGACCTCCGTCAACGCCCAACAGACGCTCAAGCTCTTCTGATAATTGCTCCACCGACTTCCGCTGGATGCCCAAACCACAGAGGATCACCTACAAGGCAACCAACCACATCATCGCACAGATTATCCGATGCGAAATAGCACATAGAACATAAGTCTCGAGTCATGATGCTAAATTGAGAGTAAACTTAAACCAAGATTAAAATTGCCAATTCGACAAGACCTTCATGTCAAACCTCATTCGCAAGGCATCCCAACTCTACTGCTATACAGCACAGTTAGATAAACAAGCTTATGCAGGTTGAAACTAGAGTATTAACCAACGTTGAAAGTTTGACTTGCCTGTTGGGTTTTGTTCAGTTTGACATGGGGGAAGCGACGGAGAAAATAGAGGTTAGCTAGCTGTGGGAGTTGATCGGCCACCATCGGGAAGTCTAGAAGGGAGCGCAGATAGCGATGCAAGCGTTCTAAGTCGATCGTCGAAAAGTACTGCCTCACCTCCGCATTCGTCAATTCTAAGGAAAAATCCAGTCAAGGAACGTTTTACAATCATTCGTCTAACTGGTAGTATGCACCAACGAGTGGCAGCGTCGACTCAATCGAGTGACATTTGATGATGATTGAGTAAAGGCTGAAACTGCCTTCCATCTTTTCAATCGATTAGCCTTTCGAAGGGAGGAAAAGCACGCATGACACCAAATATGTTATAGCTTTTGGTAACGGAACACCACACGATGCTAACAAAATGCGGCTGTTCATGAAGATAAACAAGTTACTTAAGAGGCTCAATTAGGAATACACAATCCAGCAATCACGTAAAATTCATTTACTAGTAAGGTAGTAATAGCTCTGCCTATCGGATGCCATTCTTCAATGGCATGGCAACGTTAATCTCCAGAGGAGTTCATAAAATCCCCATCATACCCAAACCCAGATGCACAGAAGAGGTGTCAGTTTTTCCTTACCTTCCCCATTCCAAGAACTTGTCGACTTAGAGACGAGCAATTCTAGTGAGTAGGCCGCATCCAGAACACGAAAAGGTCCTGGTAACAATTTGACGAACCGTCTACAAAAATCTGTAACGAATAGAATTAAGTCCAGCACTAAGGAAACAAATGATATTGCATAAAAAGTAAATAGAGGTCTGATTCAGCCATAAAGGAGCTGTGAAGCATTACCAAGCCGTATTCTGCTACAAAATCAACTGGAAAATATCTAGATTTATACCACGAGAACTGGGCTTGAGAAGTGTGTTCAGAAGGAAACGTACCAAAGTGGAAGTTCCTCAACCAATCAATACTAACAGACTCGCCATCGCGACGCAATTCCGACAACATAATACACGAGAATTCTCCGGTTAGCTCGTTCTAAAATGGCAGCAATAAAGCATGGCTTTAAAACATAAGAACCAGACCATTTGGGGACCAAACCCACCATTGTCTGGCGCAGGTAGACGGGTAAGTAACCAGCTCTTTTCCAAAAGCGCAGAAGCTTAGGCGTCGCACCGAAAGAGACACCAATGTAGTTCAACTTCTCCGGCTGACGTTCACTCAGCCGACTGAGGAGAGGGGGTAGACTGCCAGAAGCCCGTCGCTCTACCTTTTCGGTGAGAAGTTGAGAGTTTGGAACATCAGCGCCTTCTGAAGGTTTTTTCACCTTTTCGAATGAATGGCTTTCTTCCTCGGGATCCGAAAGGTTGTTTGGAATCTCCTCTTCGTCCTCGCTCCCTGTATCATCGTTTTCACTCTCCGAGTCGACTTCCGGCTTCCTTTGGTTTCCCTCCATAGATTTTACGCTGGCGGTAACGTCAAGAGGCTATGTGGTTACCGTAAATGACATCAAAGTTAGATCAGAAGGGATGCGGTTCAATTCACGATAGAATGTATAAGAAACCTATGAACCATCTGAAGTGGAATAGATACGAAGTTAGCCACTATTTGAAAGAAGCTCAGACCATATAGGATAAAATCGCTTATGATCTGAAAAAAAATTTGACTCACAATCTCGCCCAGATAGTACTTGCGTAATAGTTGAAGCGCCCTGGAACCATAACCTAACGACTGGTAGTCCGGATGAGTGGCAATTCGAATGATACGCGCACCTGAGAGTTCACCAAAGGTGGGTTCACAAAACTGCGGAGAACCAAAGAAACCTCACGAATTAGCTAACGTCAATGAAACCAAATGAAATAAATGTGCCTATCTTTTCCCACCTGTTGGCTAATAGTCCATGGAATCAAATCACCGGAGGGCTTCAGTCCGCGAGATAAACCACGCATTACAATGTCGCGGTTGATCTTGCCTTCCAGGCACAATTGGATTACACAAAGGATTTCCGGAACACGACCTGAACTTGGATCGTATGGCGCTAGGAGGCAGAATATGTGATGAGCAGGTGCATCTGAAAGCAGCTGCAGATCGTTTGGAGAATTTTTGTAGTGGGAGGAGACGTAGAGGGCCATGAGCCGTTGCAAAAAGACCTCTGTCGAAGCGTGGTAGGCAAAAAGGGTATCTCTGTTTACGTAGTAGAGCTTGCATTCATCGGGAGCTGGAGCGATGCCGCCGGTGTTCGAACCTGTGGAGGACAACTTGTCCCCACAGTCAAGACAAAGCAAATTGTTCAACCAGATCTCTACTGGATCCCCATTTGCATATCGAATAGCTTCTTTCAGCGAAATCTCGTAGAGGAGGCGGGTCCGATCCACTACAAACAACATTTCACTCGGTTATGACCCTGGTGAAGCTACAAATCTGTATCCAAGGCTGCGACAATAAATACCCTAACTCAAAATGGATCACGATTATTTGTGCAATTTTAACCAATGGATGTTAGCAAAATAAGAAATCGAAATATAACTCACAAAGCTGTAGACTCTTCCCCATCTCTGAAGACCCTTTTATCAGTTCTGCATTGCTAGTGTTGGACATGGCATCAACCCGTTGGCACTCACTTCTTAATTGGTCGATAAGCTTCACCGATAGCGATCTACCCGTACCCTCATAACCGTTGATAGTTGATGCCATGAGAACCAACTTGGGTCCAGTTATCAATTGACGCACGGTAGGTAAGGGAATGGCGGCGGCTTCATCGATGCAAAACAGGTCAGGTTGCCAGCTCCCACCCCCACCGGCTACTGCCTCCCAAGGCTGGAGGTAAATAAGACTCTGACGATACGAACGACGTGTTACTTCGATTTTCACAACTGCCTTATTGTGATCGGGATCCGTGGAACGATGCACAGTGTAGTCCACATGTTCCTCATACTTGAGGGCCATCAGACCGAGCAAAACAAATTGCATGAGAGTGATGAGGTTCTCAGGACTTGGTGCAGTTACACACATGCTCGGAAGACCGGTGTCAAATGCGGCGGCGAGTCCCAAACCAAGGGCAGCAGACTTGCCGCGACCGCGACCTGCTGTTACGACAACCACAGCCATGGAGGCTGACTTATAAGTGCTGAGCCTGGTCCCACCGTCGGAGAGGTTGGTGATTAACCTCTGTGTAGAAGGATCGAACTGAGAAAGTTTGGCGGTAATGTTGGACTTCTTGGCGACTTTTGCCTTGTCAAAAGGGTTAGCGATGTCATTAAGGGCGGAGCAAATTTGAAGGAGAGTTTTTGTCTGATCCAACGTTTTGCAAAGGTTAACCAGAGCAGCAAAATATGAGCCGTCTTCAGCTAAAAGAACCTAGAAACTATGGTTGTGTGATTAGAATACTTTTAATTTGGTTAATTCTTCCTGCTCCTTTGGTATGTGCTCCGACTGTTCACGATCTGGAATGCAACTAAGACTGTGAATAACCCTCTTTGAAATCGGCAATATATTCCAACGATCATCGATGACAATGCACCGGGGATTCTGGGCAAGCGAAAGTAAGAAGCGCTCGTTAAAACGACACACGATATCAGTGTGCGCTTCGGTCCTGTATCTAGCGTGGACATCCTAGAGGTGTTAAAAACAATTACACTCACCATGGCCATCGTGCACAGTTGCCTAAGGGAATCCATTGACTTCAGCAGAAAAACAACAAGACCACCACCAGAAACCGTTTCAATAGTGCGTGCAAGAGTATTGGGAGTAAGAGCCTCAAAGTCTTGTAAGACACACATATCAAACGTTTGACCAAGTATTTTATTTGTCTCGTGGTAGTAGCACCACCGAATATCAGTTGAACAAATAAATTGTTCAAATACAGTTCCTTCGCTAATGATACCAGCCTTGCGGCGCTGACTAAACAGTCCCATAACATTGAGAAAATCGAACTTGCTTTAATAGTTTGAGATTCCGTTTGCGATGCCTAAGGATGTGCGTGAAGAACAAAGCTTACGTGCTGAATGATAGGTCTTTCTTATAACACCATAGAACTTTGATCATTCCTTTTTTTGCCATTGCTGTTTGAATTTGATGCAATATAGGCACCTAATCAATAACAGTACTGCTATGATGCACGCACTTGGTCTTGACCCTTGTTGCCGACGATCACCAAAATAGTGCGGTGATGTTGGGTAACACCATTTTGGAGCATAACTTGAATCCTATTATCCAGTTTTTGCAACTTCCCCATTGTAATCCTAAAAACACGTGTGCCCAAACCTCACCCAGATTGCAAAAAAGCGGGCTATCGAAAGTTGCTTTAAACAAGCAGAAGCTGGGAGTCTTTTAAATTAGAGATAATTGCACTAATATATTAATAGTGCCATAAAACGATTTTATAATTTTAATTTTTTGGGTTGTTTATATTTAAAAAATGCTTAGCAATGGGCATTATAGGTGTGTTGTTTAACTGTTTAAAAACGCGCCTCTTAATTTTTCGAACAAATAATGGCATGTATTCATTAGCGACCTAGCGCAATATCAAAAAAAGTATTGAATTGCACTGGCATGGTCTAAATCAGGCTGTTTGGGAGGGTCCCAATGACGCGACACAACAATATTCTGTTACCAAATATGCAATGTACTACAGCACCGTTAGAACTTCAATTTTTTGCCACATCCTATTCAATATTGTAATAACTTGTGCCTAAATTTGAATATTAGGATTTTAATACTACCTCGGAACGATGCTAGTCACAGTTTGGTCTTAAACATTTGAATTTAAGCGTATTTGTTGGTATCTAGCAGGTTTCTTTGTTAAGGGTTATACGAACAGTCGAATAAAATGCATGTAAGGTTATCATAGGAAGTTCAGTGTTCTGGTAACAATGCTAGCTGACATTTTATATGGTAGGGTCGGGAAGCATTTTCTTCAAAACCTCAGGTGGCGGAATTCGAAATCCCACATGTAGATTCTCCTCATTCTGAACTAGCTGTAAACAAGGCTTCGCGTAGTCGGGGGATTCCTGGGGTGCCATATTACAGAACCCTAATGTCGGTGGTGTCATCTGTAATGATGGTAGTGCTAGTGGGGAATGGAAAGGCGGTTGTGATGGAAGTGAGGTCACTGCAGATTTTCCAAGGCATTGTGTCAGACTCCGGAGTCCCGAATGGTTGTCATAAAGTCCTCGTAGGTGAACCTTGCGAATATGCTTCTTGAGATCAAAGTTGCGACAGAAACCTTTCCCACAATAATAGCAAGTAAACGGTTTTTCATCACTGTGTGTATGCATGTGAAATGTCAGGTTGTAGGCCTGGTGGAATGACTTTTCACAAAGAGGGCACTTGTGCTGTTTCTCTTTGCTGTGCGTCAGTTTGTGGTTCTTATAGTTCCCTTTCTGGTGGAATCCTTTTCCGCAGATCTCACACGTGAAAGGTTTTACGCCTATCAACATGCGTTTATAGTAATCCAGTCAGGCTATATACCAATGCATGGATACTTTTAAAAACTATAAGCATGAAAATTCCTGTATGATGCATAAAAAGTTGGTCCTCAAGTTAAACGAAGTTTTAAGTCAGCAGTTAGATGAAGGCAATGGGAACCAACCTAAGTGGATCTTCACGTGTGTATTGAGGGTGGAGCTGCGATTGAAGGCTTTGCCACAAACCTGACATATATGTGGTTTTTCCGCTGTGTGGATAATTTTGTGACGACATAGTGTACTAGCTTGTCGAAATCCTTTACCACAAACCTAATATAAATAAGGGAAATTCTTTTATGCATAGCGGTTCCTTCCCACTGGAAAATTTAAACTGAGATCGCATTTGTATTCTAACCAAATCGAGCTTTGCAATTAAAACAAGGCTATGTATGGCAAAATTTTGGATATGATACAATCTAAATTTTAAAAAAGTTTGCATTTTTTATATAAGAACAATTATAATGCCAATCCTGCCCTACGAATTTTGGTAAAATGATAACAGGAGCACCAAATTTAAAATCAAATTCTAAATTTTTAAAGTGTTTTTTATTTCAAAATAAATTCTACGATTCGGTGTACTAGAACACTAGCTTAACTGCGAGCGCTGTAATCACTAATTCATACACACAAATTATTAAATTGTGGCATTCCCTCACCTTGCAAACGAATGGTCGAGCACCGGTGTGAATGGGCATGTGTCGAGAGAGGTTGTACTGAGCGTTAAAAATTTTTCTGCATTTAGGGCACTCAAATACATGGGCTATTGGTCTGGCTACCTCCATTGCATTTTCGCCCATTTTGCTTGAAGTCGGTGGCGATGGTGGTGGTGGTGATGGCCGATTTTTAGACGAGGAACTAGCATGCGTGGAACCCATCAGTCCCTCAATTGTAAAGCTCAGCGATGGCATACCTCTAAGTAAAAAGGGGATTCGAACATGCCTACATTAACACACCTAGAATCTATATTGCCACTAAAAATGCTAAATCGCAATAGGAAATTGATGTGCTAACTATTATCTCACTACCCATCTTGTGATTATAAAAGACTCGAATTTCTCTTTAAGCATGGGGAAAGAGCGACAGTCGAATAAAAACAAATATAAAAGCCTAGTCAGCATGGACATCCCGCTGTACCAACCTTTTGTTATACGCGCTTAAAGCTTCCTTTAAATTCGCCGTCTTAAAGATTGTGAAGACTTCCTCTTTCTTCCCCCTCCCCCATAACCAGTAAAAGTACCGTACACTGCTTGGTTTTGCGTGCCAATGAAAATCTAACCAATCAATTCACAGCGCCAAATGGTAGAGCTGCCAATCCCTGGAGGGCAGTACATTTAGGCGAGCGATTGGTGGAATTAAGCGCTTCTAGGGTTGTAACCCCAGGGGCTCCCTGAATCGCAATCCCTAAAATGTATCTAAAAGCTATGTTGAGTGAGCTTTGATGAACAAATATGACTCCCACTGATGGCGTTGATTAAAATCCGATTTCGATTTGCAGTAGAAAACGAAGTGAATATCTGACAAGCTAACACAAAATATTTTCAATTTTCCACAAAGACATTTACATCAAACTTCAATTATCAGCCTATAGTCCCACCTTATGGTTATTAACAAGTTCCAGTATCTTATCTGTGACAACTGTCATAATGTGTTAACTAGTTATACTTTTGGAAACCAATAAGTTGCTAATAAACATAAACAGCTATCGAAATATTTGCCAATCATCGTGACCCAAAGAAATTCTGACGTTCCAAATTATTTTACACTTTTTCTGAGATAAAAGGATACATAAAGCGCATCTCTTTCGTTGACCTAACATCTTATTTTAATTAATTTAGTTCAGCATTCCTCCATAATGATTCCTCAATTTCGGACTTCATTGTTCATGCAAGGAAAATTCAAGTGTTAGGTGTTGCTGGAGCTTTGCTATTACCTCTGACAACGAGCTGTTTTAAGTCCAGAAGGCAAAGATAATCTCAAAGAGCTTACTCCGAGTCTAGAGGTAGCATTTCTTCTGCTTTGAGAACAGGAGACCCGAAGTTGAAATATTGCATACATGTGGCATTCACATTTTTGTAGTAAAATAGTCGAATTATTTTTGTCTTCACATGGGTTCTGTTAAAAAAATTGGACTTCAACATTTAATGTCTTTTATTAAGCTATTATTGTCAACGCATATTTCCCGACAATCGCAAACCTTCATTGCAGTAAGTTAAACTATTTCAACCGCTTTGCAAATTTTCATTACTGTAGGTCGTATTTTATTTATACGCCTTGAATGCAGTGGAAGATTTCTCCATTTTTCCAAGAGTATTTTTCTTAATGTCAAAAGGTTTAGGTTGAACACGAAAATATGCTTTTTATTTGCGTATAGGAAGTGTTTATTTACCTTTTGTAGAGTCATAGAGGAAGGAACGGAGTTGACCGTATCGAATGCAGGGGGGAAAACGACTGTTAACAGTTTAAGTGACCTTCTCGTTCCCACACCCTCTCTTCACCCACCTGCACACATTTCCTCTCCTTCCCCCGTGACGGGAACCACTTAACATATGACAGTTTTGTGTTTTAATTAAGCACCCAACGGGTTTGTTACAATTTTTAATCTAAGAGTTTTGGGTTTAAAAACAACGTAATTCGATTCTTAAGCCAACGTAGTTCCTGGTCGGCTCAGATTTAATATCTTCTCAAAGCCTACAGTATGGCATGCCTTAGATGATGGATCAAATCTTTTGACTAAAATGAAATCTTCCAACGTCCAATTTTACTTTTATTTTATGTTCAATCATTACCTTTTTTCAGAATAAGCAAGAAAAAATGAGTAAAAATTCGAAAAGAAATATTTTTTTTTGGAATTTTAAGGTTATAAAGTTTGCCAAACGGCATCAGAAAATTTTGAGTGAGAAGGGTAGGAGCTTCGTTGCATATCTCAAATGAGCCTTGAATCGTCTGGATCTCGGAATTGATCCTTTCAAGATAGAGAAATTGGCAAAGTTGGAGTTGAAGTTAATCTTCCCATTTGGTACGCTTATGCTGTATGAGTTTAAAAGGTTGCAAACGTGCCGTTACTTTCTAATTTTACTTTCTATGAATGTGTGAAGATTACTGTGTAAACTTATGAAGGATGTCAACCTTCCTCCGTTCCACGTAAGACTTATAACTGCAATTGCAAAACGGTGAGACTTGGCAACGAGCAGGTATGGGCTGCCCTTATTAAGGGGATGGAGCTAAGAGGTGTCAGTTCTTGTCTTATTTGAATGTGAGTACAAATAAATGGTCCTAACAACTACCTTTGGCGTTTGTTCCTCATTTACTTGGTTTGCAACAAAAAGTTGATTTTACTCACAAGTTTAATTACTTTGCAACACCGCTGCGAAATTTCGCGTTAAGCAAATTCAACTAGTTTGCAAGTATTCAAATTACCGACGTTGCAATTGTGGATAGGTTTCATTCAACTTCATTTGCTCTCATCAACTAAATAGTTTTGAAGAGTCATGCAAGGATAAGGCCTGTAATTTTAAAGGTCTGACTATCTGCAGTAAAGAATTTGCACATTCCTATTATCAACCGTTGTCAAAGCAGAGGAGATGGTGGGAAGGGCCAAAGCAGAGGCGCAAAACTTGAAACATCGTCTCTCTCTTACCTCAGCGTAAACAAAAATATAATGTCCACCCCTTTGATCTCCACTCCTGTCAAGTTCTGCAAGTGTGACAGGTCGTGACCTCAAAAATGTTTCATCCAGCCATCCTCCATCTCCTCACCCCTCGTGTTTCCCACCCCCACCTCCTTCAACCGATCCGTGATCGCATTTTAGGCGTTGATGAGTTGATTCGAGTGGAATGCCTATGTCCATTTGAAGTAAAACGAACAGACAAGCCTGCGTTTACGTTGAGAGCGTAGAATTTTGGCGAGTTTTAATGTTTTTTCCCACTTCAATCTAATGTTAGGTAAACAAAAAGTGTCATATGATTTGTTCAACATAAGTACTACAATGAGTTTACAGGGCTTTATGCATGGCGTATAATCACCTTATTTTCATTAAAAAAGTATTATGCTCTCGATCATCTATCAGCAGTACATTTATTTGCCGCCAAATCGCACATGATTCAGATGGAAGAAGAATAAGCCTACCTGCGGTCTCGATTTAAAAGTAACAGTTTTTTAAACCATAATTTTAGTCATTTGGATAAACGGTGACAAACAAACTATTTGTGCGCTTTCAACAAGTATTCACCCAAAACTATTTACTGAAACGAATAATTGCAACCCGGCCCTTGGCAGACGATCCAGCTACACTTCATAATGAAGCAGTTGTGAGACTTGAATGGCGCAGCCGGAGGCAAAAAAACATCGTTCATGAAAACCAACTTAAAAAATGTTACGCTACGTCAAAATCGCCTTCATTTCACATTTTGCATGCTAGTAGTACCATTAAGTAGATCAACCGGAATCGTCCGACCCGTGCCGTAGGCAGAGGCGTAATTAAAATAGGCTGCCATCTTCTTTGCTCTTCTCTCGTTTCGTTCTCGATCTTGCTCCAACCTTTAACACTTACCTAACAACATACCAGCCTCGGCTTTTCTCTCCACTCATCTACCCGCAAACAAAGGGTGATGATAGCTTAGCAGGTGACGTCTTTGAGGTGCGTAAAGAGGAGTATAGAGCAAAAGCAGTGCAAAGGTAAAATTAAGATCAAATGTGACCATTTTGCAAAGATGGGGTTCGGGAGCGGCTGAGGTTTGCAACGATCAAGTTATCAAGCCTTTTTTTAAAGAACCAGTCACGCAAATTTGTAAGTCTAGTTTCGACAAGTGTTTCAGTTCATGCGAGGAAGGAGACAAGGATTTGCAGGCAAAATAAGGCTTATCGTAATTCAGTGACTAAAGTCATAAGCATAAAGAATACTCGCCTCTAATACTTTGCTTAGATGACCATTTGCATGGATGGCAATCACTTTGGCAGTTATATAACAATATATCAGAATCGTACCCTTTCTCCCTGAACGTGAGTAATCAGTCAGACAAAGTGTCATTCGCTACCAAACAGGAGGTTCTGGTTATGGTTCTATCCATGAGACTCAACTTCACTTCAACACAAGCAATGAGTGGAGAACGAGAGGGTAGGCAGAATGGCATGCAGGCTAAAGTTTGGCCAAAAGTGTTTTCCAGCATTGTTTAAAATTTCAAATCAAGGATGAGTGATTACAGAGGTCGAAGCAAAACCTTGCAAGGCTTGGCTACAGGAGAGAATACTCTCATTGAACCTTCAAATCTAGCTAGTGAGACACGAGATTGCATTTGCCAAAGTTCAGTCACTTAGAAACCCTCTAATTACAAACTCTTCTCATCGGCTTTCGCTTCTACTCGGGCCTCTTGGTTGCATTAATGATGGAACTACCGCGTTATCATTGGTCTACCTAAAAGTAGATATATAAAGTAAAAAACATCATAAAAGAAAAATAGCTTTGCAGGATCTATGGACAGGGAGAAAAGTAGACTCAGCGCAAAAAGGTCTTGAGAGACCTTAAAAGTCCACTTCCTTTCCTCCGACAAATTGACTTGGTCGTTCTTACTAATTGATTTGTCTTTGGATAACGGAAGGATATTTTGGGACAAAACCATTTCCATTGATCACTATCAAGAAATAAAACAAAGCTTATAAATGCCCTATCTCTCATAGCTCCTTGGAAAGCTTCTGACTTCCCCCACCCTAATCTTCTCCCATCCCATTTAGGGACAAAATTTTAAACAATTTTAGTAGATATCTCGTTTCCCTTCCTTGGCATTCAGAAAACATCACTCACACTTTGCGTGACCGCCATGGAAGGGTTACAAAGCACCATTTCACTCCAAAGGGCCATTATCACTGGTGGCATACACGCAAACGCCTCAAAGCACGAGGCTTCCATTAATAGAAGGGAAGTCCAGAGAGGTGGTGGTGCCAGAAATAT